ACATCGACGTGAAAGGGACACATCAAGTGGCTGCCACCTGCACGACCAACCAGGGCCAGGGACAAACTGCAACCGAAGTACATGCCCTTAGCGGGAACCGAACCCGGGTCTCTCCGGACCGCAGGCCGATGCTCTAACCGCTGAGCCAAACCAGCCAGGGCTAAATTAATTTCTTAACTTTGTGATTGAGGAGTGAAGATGGGTAGGTTAAATATCTGCTATTCCTTTATAGTTTCTAAATTCTAAACTTTAGGGGGGCTTTACAAACTCTTCCATTAACTAGCAGTATGACCATGGACATGCTACTTAACTTCCCTGCATCTGAATTAGTTTCTTTATTACTCAGATACAAAACCAGACAAAAGTTACAAGAAAAAGAAAAAGAAAAAAACAAAAACAAAACAAAAAACAACACTATAGATCACTATCCTTCATGATCATAAATACAAAACTCTATGCAAAATTTTAATCCATGAGGATTTCCGGTCAAGATGGCAGCGTAGGTAAACGCGGCACCACATCCTCCCACAACCACGTAAAAATTACAACTAAACTACAGAACAACCATCATTCAAAACTGCCTGACATCAAGCTGAATGGAAGTCCTACAACTACGGAATTAAAGCAGCAGCTGCATCGAGACTGGTAGGAGGGGCAGAGGCAGATATGCTGGTCCCACACCCACGTGTGGTGGATAAAAATCAGGAGGATACCTCGGCTGGGAAGGTCCTCCCTGAAGACTAAGGGGTCCCCGTCCCACACCAGGTGCCCTGCTCAGGGTTCCAGTGCCAGGAAGAGAAGTACCCATAACTTCTGGCTGGAAAAACCAGCAGGAACTGAGGCTCAGGGAAGCTGAGGCAGCTGGAGCCCCAGGCAGCTCCTCTGAAAGCACCCACGTGTGGACTTATTTGGACTCGCTCCCTCTAAGCTTGGAGGGAAGGCAGCTCGAGGGGCACCAGAGACATACAGGGAAGAACTGAGCTGTTTGGCACTGGAGCAAGGGCTGGAGAGGGGGCTTTCTATGGGACAGACGTGCTGTCAGAGGCCTTTGTTCCTTTGGTGAGCGCTTCCCTGGGGTGGCAGACAGCCCCCATATCTGGGACTCCAGCAACCTGGCTCACACTGGTAACCCCGCCCTGGTGACTCCCTGAGGCCCCGCCCCACCCCACCCAACTTTCAGGCCCACCCAAGCTGTTGCCAGTGGCTTTACCATATGATTGGCCTTACTTGGATCCTGCTTCAGGTTTTTCCTAAATTCTTTCAAACAAGCAGCATCTGGTCTCAGCTAGCCCCTTACTGCTCATTAAGTAATACACAGAAACAAACACAGGGAAGCAGCCAAAATGAGGAGACAAAGAAACAGGTCCCAAATGAAAGAACACAACAAAACCCAGGAAAAGAACTAAGCGAAATGGAGATAAGCAACTTAACAGATGCTGAGTTCAAAATACTGCTTATAAGGATGCTCAATGAACTTAGTGAGAACCTCAGTGAACTTAGTGAGGGCCTAAAGAGCATAAAAAAGAACCAGTCAGAAATGAAGGAGGCATTAACTGAAATAAAGAATAATTTACACAGATTCAATAGTAGAGTAGGTAAAGCCAAGAAGCAAACCATTGATTTGGAATATAAGGAAACAAAAACCACCCAATTAGAACAGCAAAAAGTAAAAAGGAATCCAAAAAAATGAGGATAGTGTAAGGAGCCTCTGGGACAACTTCAAGTTTGTCAACATTCGCATCTTGGAGGTGCCAGAAGGAGAAGAGAGAGAACAAGAAATCGAAAACCTATTTGAAATAATAATGGCAGAAAACTTCCCTAACTTGGTGAAGGAAACAGAAATACACATCCAGGAAGCACAGAGAATCCCAAATAAGATGTACCCCAGGAGGCCCACACCAACACACATCATCATCAAAATGCAAAAGGTTCAAGACAAAGAATCTTAAAAGCAGCAAGAGAAAAGCAGTTAGTTACCTACAAGGGTGTTCCCATTAGACTGTCAGCTAATTTCTCAAAAGAAACTTTGCAGGCCAGAAGGGAGTGGCAAGAAAAATTCAGAGTGATGGAAAGCAAGAACCTACAACCAAGATTACTCTATCCTGAAAGCTGGACATATAAAGAGTTTCCCAGACAAGAAAAAGCTATCACTACCAAGCCATTATTATATGAAATGTTGAAGGGTCTTCTTGAAGAAAAAGATAAAAAAATATGAACAAATAAAATGGCAATGAATTCATAGCTATCAACAATTGAATCTACAAACAAAATGCAGAACAGAAACATTCTCAACATTTTGTTGGTTGCCAGATGGGAGGGGGGATGGGGGAATGGGTGAAAAAGGTGAAGGGATTAAGAAGTACAAATGGGTTGCTAGACTGACAAACCTCAAAGGGAGGGGGGGTTGGGAGTGGGAAAAAATAAACTAAAGGACTTATATGCATATATGCATAACCAATGGACACAGACAACAGTGTGGGAAAAGGCAGGAGGGAGGAGGGAGTGGGGAGAAGGCAGTCAATGGGGGGAAAATGAAGAATATCTGTAATACATTCAACAATGAAAATTAATTTAAAAAAAATTAATCCATGAAATCCAACAATATATAAAATGAATAATAAAACAGATAAAGTTGTGTTTATGACAGGAATACTAATTTGGTTTAACATTTGAAACTCAATCAATAAAATAAAAATAAAAAATATATGAATATTTTGCTGCAGCAAAAGTATTAAGTAAAAACCCAACATTCCCTTCTGATAAAAACCTCTCAGCAGACTACAAATAGATGGGCATTTCCTTTATCTGACAGAGTGTCTACGAAAAACCTATAGCTAATTTCATACTTAATGTGAAAGACTGAACACTTTCTTTCTGATAAATCTGATAAAATCTATAAAAATGTTAGTAGAACTAATAAATGACTTTAGCAAAGTTGAAGAATACAAGATCAAGATACAAATTATAGAAAAATAAACAATCAGAAATTGAAATTAATAAAACAATACAATAATATAAAAAATATAAAATACTTTATGATAAATCAGTCAAAAGATGTGTAAAATCTATACACTGAAAACTATAAAACACTGAAAATTAAAGAAACCCTAAATAAATTGAGAGGAATACGGTACACATGGGTCAGAAGATTCAATATTATTGTGATATCAATCCTCAAATTTACAGATAGAGCCAATACAATCCCAATCAAAACTGCAGAAATTGAGCTGAATCTGAAATTTATGTTAAAATACAAAAGACCTAAAATAGCCTAAACAACCTTGGGAAATAACAGAAAAATTCAGCACTGACACTAACTGATTCCAAGTGTGGTGATCAGACTTTACGGTACTGATGTTAAGATAGACAAACCGAATAATAGAACAGAGTAGAATATCCAGAAATAGACCCACACATGGATGGAAAACTGATTTTTTATAAATATTCAAAGGCAGGTCAGTGGAGAAAGTAGTCTTTTCTACAAATAGTGCTGGAACAACTGGATAACCATATGCAAAAACGGAAAAACAAGAATACGTAAAAACAAAATAAACAAAAATTTGGGTCATATACAAAATTAACTCAAAATGGATCATAGACCTAAATGTAAAACAAACCCAAAACAAAACAAAACAAAAACCTATAAAACTTAGAGTAAAACATAGGAGAAAAATGAGTTAGGCAAGAATTTCTTAAATATGACACTAAAATGCATGATCATAAAAGAGAAAAAACAATACACTAGACTTCATCAAAATTTAAAACTTTTGCTCTTCCTAAGACACTATTAGGAGAGCCCTGGCCAGTTTGGCTCAGCGGTTGAGCGTTGGCCTGCAGACCAGAGAGTCCCGGGTTCGGTTCCCGCTAGGGGCACGTACCACAAAAAAAAAAAAAATGCAAAAGACACTATTAGGAGATAGAAAAACCAAGCCAGATTGGGAAAAAAATCTTTGTAAAGCATATATTTGATAAGGAATTTGTATCCAGAATATATAAAGCATTCAGTAATAAGAAACAGCCCAATAATAAATGGACAAAAGATTTGAACAGATGCTTCACCAAAGAAAATATATCCACTGTGGATAAGAATATGAAAAAGATGTCAGTATAGGTCATTAGGGAATGCAAAATAAAACCACAATGAGATACCTCCATTCACTATTTGAACTGCTACAATGAAAAAGTATGGATAGTCAAGTGTTGACAAGTACATACATAAAGAAACTGAACTCTATATCTGCTAGTGGTAATATAAAAGGAAACGACCATTTTGGAAAACATTTTTGTAATTTTTAAAAAAGTTACTCTGACCTATGACTTATTCGTTCCATTTCCAGATATTTAGCCCAGAGAAAAGGAAGCACATGTCAGTACATAGACGTGGACAGGACTGTTCCTAGCAGCTTTATTTCCAATGAGGAAACCCTGGAAACAATGTACATGTCAACCAACAGGTGACTAGATAAACAAATTGTGTCCATTCATAAATGGAGTACTACTCAGACTGACAAGGGATGAACAACTGTTACACTAAAAAACATGAATGTGTCAAAATAATTATGCTGAGTAAAAGAAGTTAGACAAAACCAAATACATATTGCATGATTTCATTGATATTCCACTCAAGAAAATGCAAACTAATCTATAGTTCCCTTTATTTATAATTCTAGAAAATACAAGCTAAAACAGACCAGTTTGGTCTCGGGAGGAGTGGAGTGGGCATGGTCGTGTGCGGCAGGGTCCCGGGGAGGAGCAGGAGGGGGCAGGGGCCAGGAGAGGCAGGGAGAGGGGGAGGGGGTACGAGAAAGGGCAAGGGGGCGGGGCCAGGGAGCCGACGGATGGTGCCGAAGGGCAGGGCAGGAGGGGGAAGGAGGAGCGACGCGGGAGGGGTAGGAGCGCGGGGTGCGCGGGCGGAGGGCGGAGGCGGGGACGCAGTGGATTGGAGAGGGAGGAGGCGGGGCGAGGGGCGTGCCCGGGGGCGGGGCCGGGGACCGCGGACGCCCGCATCATGGCGCTCCTCCTCCGCACACTCTGGAGCTTGCCCTTCCGAGCGGCGCCTCGGCGGGCTGTGCGAGGCCGGCCGGTGAGCGGTGTCCTCGGCGCTGGGGCTGGACGCAGGGACGCAGGTAGGACGCAGGCCTCGCGGGCCCCGCCGCCGCCTTCCGTCTTTCGGTCTTTCATTTTCACGTGCCGCGGCGTAGGTGCCTGAGCGCTGCTCTGGACCCGCTGGGATACCGCATTGTAACCTAGGAGGGGCAGACGGGGGGTCGCTGAGAATTGGAGGACCGGTATAGATCCTCGCCCAGAACGTGCACCCATTTTTTTTCCCCATCAAATGTCGGGCTCCGGAGCCCTGACGCTTATCCTGAGACTCCAGGTGGTGGAGGCCCCAACGCGACGCCGCGCTCCCCTGCGACGGCGCCTCGTCTTCTCGCTGTCCCCCTTCAGGGCTGGTTGTCGCGCCTGCAAGCAGGCGGTTCAGACCGAGTTCCTGAGGATTGGCTACCTGCCCTGCTCTGTTTCTCTGTATGTTTCAGGACCCAGGGAAACGGGGGACCCGGTAAACTGATAAGCATGGTCTTTCAGTGGCTGAGACAGAGCAGGAGAATGTGTTTTCTGCAAAATGCCCCTGACGCCTTGTTATATTCGGGCACCTGTATGTTTCACTCTTTAGCTCGGAGTCCCCTGTATTTTGGATGTGTTTCAGGGTAATTTAGTGGCCCCCGAGGTTTGGCTTCCATGTCATCTTTGAATCCAGTTCTGTTCTGTGTCCATTAAAGACAGTTAGAGATACCCAACACCGCTGAAAATGTACCCGGTCAGTTGGAACTATTGATCCTGGAAGTTTTCAAAATGCAGTGTTAAATAGAAGCGCCAGCATTATGGAGTGGTGGCTAGTCTAACATGACCTCTGGTCATGGCCTTAAGAACCCCTTGGTGTCTATAATTAGCTAATCTGATATACATTACCTGCCTACTGTGGGCCAAGCATTGGTTTGCTGAGATCCACCAGTGATGTAAATATCACAATTGTAGGGCGAGCTCTCCTCATTCCCCTTTATAAGCCAGTGGTTTCGGCAGAAATGTGTCCTTTATGAATATACTTGGTGCTGTTGGAAACAGCCTAATGAATTGCCCTTGGATCTGCAACATTAAAATTTGGGCAGACACCAATACATAACAAGGGCTGTGTAAATGATCAGACACCCACTCCTGGGCATTTATCCTAAGGAAGTTATGCAAAAGAATGAAGCTAAATGTACAAAGATGTTTTTAAGAGCACTACTTTTAAGAACCAGAAACTGGCTATAACCCAATGCCCATCTGTTAAGGAATGCTTACATAAACCATGAAAAGTTCAATTCAACAAACTATTAGGCATCCATTAAACATGATTAACAGGTAATAAAGAGCTTGGGTGTGGACAGTATCACTTACTGGCTGTCTTTGGGCACATCTTGAACTTGGTAAGCTTAAACTTGTTTCTTTCTTCTATAACATGGATAATGACAATAGTAGGGTTGTTGTACAGAATAAATGGGAAAATAATTTTAAATGCTTTTTTACAATGATTGGCACTTAGTAAGCACACAATAAATGTTAATTATTTTTATATAAATAAATGGAAAAGACAAAAGTGGAGTCCACATTTAACAATTTGGCTATTAAGGCAGTCTGTCTTCCCTTGACACAGTCTTCCAGGCTGACAGATTGACAACAAAATATTGTATAATCAGTGCTTGAAGCTTCAACTAGTCTGAACATTGATACCCACCCATAGAACCTTTCACACACATTAATAATAGTGTAAAGGGTACATATAGATAAGGATTAGAAGAGCCATGAAAAATGTAGTTTCTTATTGTATTTAGATGGAGTAATTTTGTTTAACAATTTAAATATAAAATTTAAACTAAAAACAGGGCAGAGGGAGAAGGTGGGTGTCTGAAACCAGGTGGGCACTCTAACAGGTGTAGTAAAATATAGAGCTGGGGGAGAGGGAGCGAGGAGCTCATATAGGATTTATGCCTTAGGTTCAATGCTGAAGCTAGGAGTTCCACTGAGTTTAGCCCTTCATGAATTCCCATTTTCTAGTGTCAGCTATTTTATTGTACTGAATGTTGAAAGACACTTAGGGCAATTCTTCCAGGAGACAATGGGTTTTTTTTCTCTAATACAATTCTACTTCCTCCCCAAAAGGAGATAGGAAGATAGTGGCAACTTTGTAGGCTATAAATCCGAACCTTAACACCAAAATATGATCCTCCTTTAAGCTATCTATATAAATAATGCAAGATCTTTGCCAAAGCCAAAAATACATGTGGAGTGGCATGGCATGGCAGAGATTTGAAGGGTAAGGAGAACTTTCATCATGGTGCTCTATTGCTTCTTTCCTTGATAGATGTCAGTGATAGCTAGGGTTCAGATTTCACAAATATCCCTTTAGACCAGACTTTAGGTTCTAGGAGGAGAAATCAAGGACAGTTCATTCTAACTAGCAAATCTTGTTTTTACTCTTACCTTCCAATTTTTCACCCTTTAGGGTGGCCTTTGTGTGACTAGTCTCATCTTAGATCACTCTGATGCATTGACACTGGTCATCTCTTAGCATCTTGCCCTTGGTTGAAGGCTTACAAAATGTAGTTATACCCATATATCTACCAGTCTTTTAAATTGCCTGAAGTGGAATGCCTTCCACTTACCTTATACTTAAAGAAATAATTCACATCTATTAAAACTAGTCTGATCCTACTTGCTCTTAAAATAGCAACAAAAATAATTCTACCTAAAAACCCAGCCTAAAATTATATTATTTTTATTTATTTAGTTAGTTTTTAATCCTCACCCGAGAACATTTTTCCATTTTTTGTTCAGACAGAGCGGGAGGGAGAGAGAGAGAGAGATCGACGTGAAAGGGACACATCAAGTGGCTGCCACCCACACGACCCACCCAGGGCTGGGGACAAACTGCAACCGAGGTACATGCCCTTAGCGGGAACCTAACCTGGGTCTCTCTGGACCGCAGGCTGACGCTCTAACCACTGAGCAAAACTGGCCAGTGCCTAAAATTATTTTAAAATGTTTCCACCATTCTGTTAAACTTGCATCGTTTTATAAAACTCCCATATTATCTTGAATAGTTATCTAAAGCTTATGTAGTCAGTAAATTTTTCTTAATTCAATTGTTTTTCATATTTGGTATACTTGAGGTCAAGATTAGCTCACAATTCTTTCCTTTCTTCCTAAATCATCAATTTATTCTCTCCACTGGATCAGTCCCATCAACATACTAGAATACTGTGATTTTCTCATGTTAAAAAATGCTCTTAACCTCACTTTCCTTTCCAGCTACCTCCGGATGGTAGACACCATCTCCTTTCCTGCTTCCTTTTCTCTTATTAAATCTGTTGCAGTCAGATTCACCTCTACTCCGCTACCTAAAAACTGCTCTTTTTTCAGGTCACCAGTGATCCCCACATTGCTAAACTTAGTGGTCAAGTATCAGTCATCTCTTTCTTGGTCTTTCAACACAGTAGATTATGCAAATTTTTCTTAAAATACTTAGCGCCCAGGACACCATATTCTTTGGGTTTCCTTACCATCTATGTCCACCCCTCTCCATATCCTCGCCTGTATGTTTAGAGTGCCGTAGAATCAAGCTCTTGGAACTCTCTGTTCTGTCTATACTCACTGATTTGGGGATCTTCCAGTCTCATTGCTTTAAATACATCTTAATGCTGAGGAGTCCCAAATTTACTTCTCTATCTTGATCCTCTCCTTGAACTCTAAATCCATACATCCAACTGCCTGTTTGACCTCTCCATTTGAATATCTGATCGACATTGTTGAACTTTCATCTAACACCAAGCTTCCAAACTGACTGCTCCTGTCATCTTCCTCATCATCCAGTGCATGACCAAATCCTTGGAATAGTGACCCTTGATCCCTGTCCTTCTGTCATACTCCACATCTGATCCATCAGCACATCCTCCTGACCTGCCACCAGAATGCTTCTCATGTCTGACCATTTCTGAGCACCTCTACAGCTCCCACCCTCATCCCAGTCTCTTCCATCTCTCAGCCAGATCATTCGTTACCCTCACACTGATTTCCTGGCTTCAGCCTTTGCCTTGTTTCAGTTTTATTGTTGTTGTTTTTTCTTTTTTTAACATATGTGAGCCACTAATCCTTTTCAAATGTTAGATCATGACATACCTCTGCTAACATTCCAGTGACTTCCAAACATACTCAGAATAAAAGCCAATGTCTTTTTTTTCATTGTTGACAGTATTACATGACCCCTATTTTTCCCTCCTTTGCTCCCCAACACCCAACCCCTATGCAACCTATGCCTTCCCCACACTAAAGTCTGTGTCCATGGGCTATGCCTATATGCATATATGTTTTTTGATTTATTTCTTCCCGTCTCCTCCATCCCTCTCCCTTCTGAGAGCTGTCATTCTATTTCATATATCCATGTCTCTGGACCTATTTTTTTTTTTAAATATATTTTTATTGATTTTTAGAGAGAGAGGAAAGGAGAGGGAGAGAGAGATAGAAACATTGATGAGAGAGACAGACACATCAGTTGGTTGCCTCCTGCACACAGCAAATGGGGATTGAGCCTACAACCTGGGTATGTGCCCCAACTGGGAATCGAATTGTTGACTTCTTGGTCCATGGGTGGATGCTCAACCTCTGAGCCACACCAGCTGGGCTCTGGACCTGTTTTTATTCATCAGTTATTTTGTTCATTAGATTCCACATATAAGTGAGATCATATGATATTTGTCTTTCTGTAACTGGCTTGTTTCACTTAGTTTAATAATCTCCAGGTCTGTCCATGCTATTGGAAATGTTAAGAGCTCCTTTTTTTATATCACCACATAGTATTCCATTTTGTAAATGTACCACAGATTTTTTTTATCCACTCATCTGCTGATGAGAACTTGGGCTGTTTCCAGATCTTAGCTATTATAAATAATGCTGCCATAAACTTCAGGTACATATATTCTTTCTGATTGATGTTTCAGAATTCTTAGGATTTATTCCCAGAAGTGGGATCTGTGGTTCAGAAGGCAATTCCATTTTTAATTTTTTGAGGAAACTCCATACTGTTTTCCAC